GAGATCTGAAGCTAACTTACTGAAGGCATTGTAGGAAACTGCATACTAGCAGTAATGATCAATGAGTGCACTGGTACAGTATGTGTCGTGAAATTACACCATCCACCTGTATCGGTACCGTATCCGTTATCGACACCGTAATGCTGTCTTTGATTTGGGAATGGATCGACACAGACATCTGCAACTAGCAAAACTTGATTTCTACATTACATCAATAGAGCTTGTTTTCTTTAAAGAAAACTGCCCTAAACAGTACTCGAGAAAACCGATAAATATAAAAAGTCGAATTTTACCTGGATATTTGTAGAGTACATCTGTTGGAAGAAGAATCGCGGCATATAAACTGGATAGGTGTACAGATTTTGAAGCATCTCGACAAAGTGTTTCAGGGACTGAAAGGGAGTTTCAGCGTTTTATGATGATTAATATTTTAAACGGCAAAAAATGGGCAGGAGGTGGTGTAGTGACAAGTGGCGCGCTCACCACTCGCGCGGTCCCGGGTTCGAATCCCGGGTCGACTCCCGCCCAGGCCAACCAAGCCTTCTACCCTCCGGGGACGGTAAATTGGTACCAGATTCGTCTGGGAGGATAAAACACTGACTTGTACATCGGCTGGCCACCGCAAGTCATTGTATAGGCCACATCGCATTCAATAAGCCACTACGATTCTGAATGGAAGTAGAATGCGTGCCGCATCCCACAAAGGGATTGATCAACGGCGAAGACTTTATCCTTTATTATCCTTTAATATTTTAAACTGACAGCCTTATAAGAAGTAAGCTTATAAGGTTAGGAATCTGTTCTAGGCCCGTTCAATACAACCTTCGTACAAGTTCTCCGTTAAAATGGTACTGCATCGTGAAGTGTGTAATGGTGGTGTCAGCAGGACCCTCTTCCCTCCCTCCCTTTCGAGGGAGGGTCATGTACAACCTGCCCCCTTCCCCAACACCTGCATACCTACCGATTTCCCACATTTTCCAGTCTAGTTTTTCACCCAAAAATTTTCCGTCGAGGGGGAATATAGCCAGTGTGAAACGGGAAAAATTCTCAAGTTATCCCCAACTTCCTAACACTTTTCCGGGATTTGCCAAGATTTTTCCAACTTTTCTCCAAAATTTTTTTTGCTGTCGAGCGGAGGAGGGGGGAGGGGTTAACAGTACACATGAAACAGGAAAACAGGAAAAAATCGACGCGAAGGGGAGTCAACCCGCGGAAAAAAAATTTTCGCCAACACGCGCAAATTTCTAAATGTTCTTTCAGTGAGGTCATATCCTTCATGAATGAGTGGTACGGGTCGTATACAGAGATTGTTTTGTAGATTTTCTCCGTCACGAAGCCCCGTTTTTCACCAAATTGTTGTAGCTTGACCGCTTCAACAACTGGTGAAGAATGGGCTAGCGGCGCGCCAAACCCAGCCTCGCTGACACGCCCCATCATCTGTAGCGAACAAAATGCGAAGTTTTTTTTACGGAAACAGAAATCTTCCCTTCCCAATAAGTTAGGATGGTTACAATAATCACGCGATAGATGGATAACATGAAGCTTTTGGACTTGACCCATGCTTCCACAATATTTCGAAAGTAGATCGAACTGACTTTAAGTCGTTCGATTCTCTTGTAACTGGGAATGCCACTGAGAATCTCAAAGGCTTCGAATTTCGTCAGTGATATCTTACCGATCATAAGACAAGTGGGGCTTAGGAGTAGAGCTCAGAGTCCACTGTACAAGATACTCATTGGAAGAGATGTCGCGAAATCTCGTCGCTCCACAGTAACCGTACCTGCATGGTTATTCCTTCATCACTGGCAGCTAGCTGTGCGATTTGACTCGATGCAATTTGCAGTTGTTCCAGTAGCAATTGTGTGTGGGTAGAGTTACCTGACGACGTCGGTAAAGGCACTCTGGAAATCCAGCGATATAAGTGATCTCAGTAATCTGTCTTACAGTATAAAACTCACACTGATGCTTGTCGTCCAGTGATGCAATGCAGTGCGTACTGCACAAGAGCACATTGCTTATGCTGCAGAGCAAGGAAGTCAATGGATTCTTCATCTGCGCCAAACGATGATCGTGCCAAACGAAGCCATGCTTGACACGCGCGGGATATTCCAAAGTCACACGCTATTAGCTAAAAAGATTTTTGTCAAAGGATTTGGTTTCAGAAGGAAGGCAAAGGGACGACAAGAAGGACTCCATGTCAGAGTTTTTGGACCCCACCTAAAACATTACGAGGTTTGCCCCCTCCCCATCCCCAGAATTGATCGCTTGGTGTCCCACTTCGCACGTACCACGCGCTCTAGAATGAATTTCATGAATTTCTTCCAGTCTCCTTCGAATGGCCGGTCAAGCTACATCAAGAACCAGTCGGTGTATCGCTCAGGGCACGTCCTCGAGCTGTGGACAATTTTCGCTAGATACCAGCCACTCGCCTCGCCTGGGGTAAAGCACCTGGAACAGGGGAAACCAATCAAAAAGTTTCCTGGGCCAAACAAGTTGCCCTTTCTCTCTAGCGATCAAACACTCCTCCTTCCCTTAGGGATTTCCCAGATTACGACGTGCCCTGATTTCGCTGTTTTTTGCGCCATCTTGAGTGATCTTTCACTACCTTAGAAGGGATAAAAGTGGAGTTTTCCCTAAATTTTTCGCCGTCGAGCGGGAGAAGGAAATTAGACTTTGAAAGAACAGTTCTACTTTCTTGACAAACGCCTTACCGCTTTCTTTCACACGGAAGACCACAGCCGCTGAAAGAGGATGTTGGCACCAATTTAACGTTGGACTGATTGCACTAGCAATTTGTAACGCGGCATCTGACGAATACAGGAGACAAGCAACCCAATCGCTCGGAAATGACAGAGCTGCATCATGCTGAGAACTTTGCGCCAAAGACTGAAATAGAAAATTTACGTTACAATTTTCTAGAACGAGCACACGGAGACCTCACTTTCAGAATGGAGTGCACCCTGTATAGATGTTTATTTTGTTCAAATAACGCAGCAACGGAAAATTCGCTGAGCTGGCTGGCAGCAGATTTTGCAGGGCTTCAATCCATTCACAGTTTTCGAGTGAAAGCCTCTGAAAATTCATGATCTGAATGTAAGTGAGCATAGAACAGTCCCCCTCCCCCCGCCACCCCCACAGCAACTTGTTCATGTATTTGGGTTTTTGAGGTAAGCTTTTTTGAACAGTTGGCGCTCCAAGAAAAGCAATGTGCCTGCTATGGACTCTCTTTGAAACCCCAGTTACCAACTGCCGACTTTTCAAACGCGGTTTCTTCTTTTTTTAATGAGTCTACCGTACTCTCACAGAATTCGTTAGCGTAGCAGACAATTCACTCACATCGGTACAAATAGCTTCCAGATTTGGCAATGCCGCTTTTTTCCAATGACCATTTCGGAAAGCAACTCGAGCGACAACATATCTGTCAAGATCGGTTCCATTCATAAGCGTGTCTAGATCATCCGGCAGCCGAACGGATGGTGCCAGCAGCAGATACGCCAAAGCAGTGCTAGAGAGGCGACTCTAAAGTATGAGGCATTGTCAATAAAAATATTGGAGAAAATAAAAGGGATAAGAGCGAATAATCTGCGAGAAAGCGACAACCTCATTCGCGACGACACTTCTCGCCCAATGATGTAGCTTGGCCACCACGAACGGTAGACGACTTGCTATTTGGCAACAAAACTCTATCAACTGAGTTATGTTGGCATGTTTTATGGGAACTTTTAGTATGTTGTCCAGTACTGAAAGAACTTGCTCTGGTGCTACTTCACTGCAACACAGAAAGCGTCCGAGGGTCCGATAGAGCTGAAAAAGAAAATTTGCAGGAAATCAACATGGAAGGCCACATATGTTGATAGCTAAAGGCACATGAGTAACCTAGTAGGGGAACTCTTCATAGCGGATAATAGGCTGGCCTGCGAGAGGTTGTGTATTTAGCCCGGGCAAAGCTGTCAATTCCTGTGCCCAAGGTAGGGACGGTCTTTCTCGCTGTGGATGATGGACCTCAGCCGCTTGAGCTTAGTTCGACGCTCAACCAGTCTGTTCTCCACCAGTTGTTGAAGCGGTTAAGCGAGAACGACTAGTGGAAAACAACTAGTACGAATAATGTCCTGTCAGTCTTATAGTTTGCCGAAAGACCAAAAAAAAGGGCTGTACGTCGTGCCAACCTCATCCCCGTTACGGCCATATTAGCTGCGATAATGCGACAGGTAAAAAGCAACAGGAGGCCCGCAGCTCGTTCCTATACCCATCCGCCCTGTACGGCTCCCGAAGTGGACGTGACAGCGAGTACGCTGATCTTCTTCCCGATTTTACTGCTTCTCCACCGCCTATGTACGGTTTCATTCCGACGGCTAGTGCTTCTTTGCTGTAGGCCTGCACAATGCCCAGAAGTAGTTACAAAAACAGGGTCTAATCGGAGTTTTTGCGCGGGGTCCTTGCTTTTCCTTGCCAAACAGACCAAACAACTCACTGAACGAGAATTTAAACCAAATATCAAGCTAACAACAGCTTATTATATTATTAGTATAACTATCCACATCCCGCCATCGGAAACGTTCCCTCAAGGCCCATAAGCTCATAACTCGAGTACTTAGCAGCTGTATCAACAGGTGGGATCCATAATGCAAAAGCCAATCACGAGGGTTATGTGCCTCTTATTCCCCAATATTTTTTAGTGTCAAAGGAGAACTGTCACCTTGAATCCCAACTGTGCCGAGGCAGTTCCATATTCTATTCGTTATCCAGGAATGGTCCACACAGCATTTGCCACTTACGTTCGTTGGGTACTCGGCACAGGATGTTGCAACTCATTTGCAAATAACGGATACGCATTTCCATACAATCACTCTGCCCGAGATTGCCTAGTTCGGCTCAGCGGTTTCTTAGGAAGAATTCTAGAAAATCTTTAGCGTCACAAGAGAAAAACAGCTATTATAGGTCGTAATTTTTTCAGAAATAGCGAGCTGGCGCAGTGTTTAGGCCGGCAACTGTTGTGGCACGCATGCCCCAACGTAAAAATCTGGATTTGGCATCCCGTTTACGCTAACATATACTCTAGTTCTCTGCGGACGGTTGGACTTGTCAGCCAGTATGAGTGCGTCACCCTATCAGAGCCGTTCTCTGCCTTCTTGCTGAGCATGCGACAAAAAGTGGTAGAAAACGAGTAATACGAAGGATATGATACAGTATTGTCACTTGCCCTTTTCAACAACTGGTGTAGAACGAGTTTGGACCGTGCCAAACGCAGCCGCAGTGACACGCCCAACCGTCCGAACTACAGTATACCTACCATCCCTCCAGGGGCTTTTACAGTCGAAATCCCTGAAACGGGGTAGGCGTGGCTGCGAACTTCAAATAAGCGTGGCGGTATCTGTGCCTTTGGGTGAGATATTTCCACCTCGACGCAACTGCAGTCATGTCTCTGTCAGACACTGAAACCTCCCTGAAAAGATGACAGTTGTCTCTGTCAGACCGAAATGTCCCATGAGTAACCCATTCTGTGCCACGTTCAAATGCCACGCCTACCTCTTCTCAGGGATTCTCAGGGATAAGGAGTGTACTTTGCTATTAGGACTCGCCTGCTGAGAATTGAGACTCTACACTTTGTAGACTGGCTAGTCCAACAACTTATTATGTGACCCAGGTCGTATACAAAATGCCACCACGATTCTGAACAGAAGTAGGGCGCATGGCGCTCTCCAGGAAAAGATTGGTCAACGCTGAACCCTATCCGTTTAATTCCTACAATACAATCCACTGCTGTATTCCAGCTTTTCACATGCATTCGTTGACGATTGTCTCTAGTTGCTCTCAGGGTTGAGGCGAGGCAGTTGACATGATAAATTGGTACTCAGGGTAAAATGGTGGCAGGGGGTTGAATAGGAAAATGGCGGAAAAGCGAACTGGAACGGACAAAAACCTGCAAAAATGACTTGTTCTATACGATTCAGAAAGCAGTGTTGGGACGAGTTCTCTTGCTTGCATCGTGCCAAATCACGCTAGCGGTGGATATCGGGTGCATTCGTGACTCGTATATCTAGTGGAGCCACCACGCACTAGTCTCAGTCCCTTCGCCTCATAAGTGTCTTCCGGAAAATGAGCATACGAAGCATCAGGCATTCCAGCAGACATTGCGCGGCGGCATTACGATTCGGGTTGATATGTTGCAGTTTCACACATTGGCGACAAGGCGCCTTTTCGCGTGCCTGCCCGCGTGGGACAAAGCAGTTTTTCCCTATTTTCGAAGAATGCGCATAAATGCTAGGGCGTTTATACGCCAAAAAAATTGAAGAATGGTCAGAATTCATTGCAGAAGCTAGTAAGGCTTCGCTATTCTTGTTTACTTTCAAGATAAACCCTGAAATTTCATGGAATACTCCCGCCTCATTCACGTGGAGCGTGGGAACAAGGTCGCAAAAAAGGAATATTTTCGCGCCAGAGGTGGTAAATTGGATTCGATTCAGATCTGCTATTGTTGGAAAGTTACCTGCAATCACATGTTATCTGCATTTGCGAGCTTCACTTCCATATATCCAAGAATTATCTTTTTTTCCTAGGAAATCACTTTCGTTTGTCTCCTCGTAAAAATACTCTCAATGACACAACTGCACGGTTTACAGCTACTGTATATTCTACAATGCCTTCCATGCGACAATATGGCAGCTGCTTGAAAATTTGAAACGTCTCTTCAAATTGGTTTTTTAATCATGCCGCATCCCAGCAGTGGGACGCAATGTCCCACGCGGCAAAAAAGGTGCGTTCAGCAGTGGACGCAATCTCGGCCAACGTGTAATAGGGCGCTATAATAGTACCTTCCTTGCAAAGAAGCACGCCAGCGCACTTGTCTCAGGGATGCCAAAATCAAATCCTACTACGGCGTATGAGTTCTCGCCTATTCAAAGGTTTATCGCGAAAACTGCCTTTAAGGCGATAGCTCTGGTCTGAGATTACATGGCATCGCCCACTGCCGCCCATGCTTTCTTGTCTTCGTATGATCTTTTTACCAGCAGGTGCCGCTGTTTACCATTGGAGCAGCTTTCTGGTAATCATCTTCATGTCGAGTGTCCTTTTGTCGCTACTGTCTCCTTAATGTCGCCTACAAAAAATCTGTACACAGGATACATTAATCGATTCCTCTACATGTGTTAAAAAGAAAAGTATAGCAGTAATGCTGCCAAAGAAGTTCTCAACGCTCTCAAAATGCAGGTTCTATCCCTACCAGTATGTAGGAAAATAACCGGGCCACTACACCTACGCCACACTGATGAGGTTACTTTGCTCCGCAAAGAAAAGCAAATCTCAAGCATATAAGTAAGAAACACACCATACAATTACAATCCCAATCAATCCCGGACGTGCTCTCTTCGTTAATCCAACGAGCACATCCAAATACTGTTGGTACGTTTTCGGATTTCGATGATACTCTTGATTTCAACTGGTGTAGCTTCTGAAGGACAAATCATTAATGGCACTATGAATGATACGGCTAGCACCCAATAGAGAACGTAAGCTTAATTCCGTTGCACACGAAGGGGTATTTCAAGTGGGATGAGCTTGGCGCGGTGCCAAACCGTTCTCCATCAGTTGTAGCAAGTGACAAGACTGTATCACATCGTTCATATCACTTGCTTTCTTCCAACTGTGTCGCCCCCATCAACTTCAACAATCGGCAGAACGTCAGTGCCGTGGCACACCATACTGCCTGACACGCCCTTCATCCGCAGCGAACTAGGTATACTGCTGGCGCGCCGTAGTTGACCACGACAAGAGCTGGTCCGTAAACTTAATCTAACCCGAAGACCTGCCTGGCGCCTCATTTAACTTCTTCACTCTGAAGAACCCTCGCAATGCCTTGGAAAAACTGAACCGTTGCTAAGCTCCGATTTCGCTTACTTCGAATTTATCTCATCTTAAGAAGTGGCTCAAATTCACGCTCACCTTCAAATGATCTTCTCTCCATACATGTGAATGTTTTGCACACCGCGCAATACTTGTGTAGTTGTGCGGGAAGTTATCGCCATGACATCCCGACACTACCCCCATGAGAATATCGAGCTGTAAGATACGAAAATTCCGATAAAAAATTTGTCTCAGATACTCCATAAAAGAGTTCGAATATTACCTGCTCTGGAATAGCGTAACGAGTCGCTTCTGCTAGAGTTGTTGTAGAGTCCAACAGTGGGCAAATGAGTTCGTTCAGGGTGGACGTTTCAAGAAGACGATTTGTAAGAGAGAAGACCTCCTGAAGCAAAAACCTCATATTTTACGTATCAGAGCACAGTGTCAAGGATAGCAGCGGCAAATTCAGCTCTCAACTGCAACCTCTTTCGCTGTGCTCCACATGGCTCCTCATAGAACAAATTCCCTGAAACCCATTTCGGAGTATGCCAGGAGTGATGGAGAAGTTTGGAAGCAGCAACATGCCCGCCTCTTCCACACCAGTTTTCTCTGATACCTGGCTAATTCCTTCCCCAGTACCTCTCCTTTTTTAACCATACGCACTACCCTGCATATAGCCCATTCAAACCAAAGAAAGGGAGCCAAGGAATCGTTCATTAGCCCATTTCAAGACAGCAAGAGCGGCACTCTCTGGTTTCTACTGCTACGAATTCAATCATGAACAGGAAACTAGGTGCCAAATAAGGTTCGGGCACGGTTTACCCTTTGCTGCCCCAGCCATCTGGAATTGAGCCAGTTGACCGATTTTTTTTTCTCCGTGGACAGATTTGGCTCAAATGTTGTCTCCTGGGATAGTTTGACCCCTGAATACGAATAGCACATTCACTCGGCCCGAAACTTCCTGGCGCCCGCGCCACAGGCGCCGGTGATCTGGAGGTATTTTGGCGCCAGCGCCTGTGGCGCGGGCGCCAGGAGGTTTCGGGCCGAGCGGATGTGATATTCATGTTCAGGAGGTCAAACTACCCAAGGGACAATTTTTGGCCAATTCTGTCCACGCGGAAAAAGTCGGTCAAAAACTAGCAAGATTTCGGATGACTGTGGCAGTAAAGGGTAACTAGTGCCAAGGTTCGCTCTTAGCGGTCCACAATGAGTTCTCAGAAAGAATGACGCGAAACCAGAGGGTTGCCGTTCCACCCAAACTTTTGAGTTCACCTATTGTTTGCTGCCTATATCATCTACCAGCCGGCTTCGCCGGCTGACACCGGCGCGCCTCCTTCTGAGATACAGCACGGCTTCGTCGAGCAGGCGCGGCTCCGCCGCGCTTGCCTTCTTC